TTGTGGACACGAAGATAAACGAGTGCGAGGCTTGTGTAACTGCAATATCCCGACTCCCGCCCTGTAGAGATTCGTCCCACGGTTAGTGTTGTCTCGCGGTCGATTTGGCTTAGGGCTCGTCTGACCGAGACCCACAGTCTGTCTCCCCACTTTTCTCCCACGACGTCGTGTCGTCACACTCTTGTTTTTCTCGAAAACTTGTAATTTCGTACCTTGTACAGGGGTCCCTCTCTGTGATGTATAGACTATATGTGGACTTTGTCAGTCGTCCTATCACTGAGAAATGGGTCAATCTTCTGTGATGTATGACTCAATTAATTTTGCGGGACTTGCTAGTCGCGCTCTCCTCCTCGCAGCAATTTCATCCTCCTGGCTGGCTATCGGTCACTATGTTCAGGAAGTAAACAAAGGAGTCCAATGGAGGCAACACATGGATTTGAGCCTTTGCAGACCATTTACATTCACAAAACCATGATAGGGCAAATCCTGCAGCTTTACAGAAATCACAACCAGAGGAAGAATAAAAAAAGATAAATCTGAATAAAACAGCAGAGGTTGTTTCTTTTATTATCTTAACACACATTTGCTCTATGCTTCAAACCTGTGTACTGGCTGTGAACCTCTTAACTCTGCACATACTGTACATCATGATTATCTTGCTATTTACGGTACTGGAAATATGTTATAAACCACTTTACAACATCCGTGCTTTTTTACAGCTTGTATATTGTTTTAATCTCACAGAAGGCTTTCACAAACTGGAGGAACGGAAACTCGTAGTCGATCACATCCCGAGCATACCAAGCATATAATGATTGAGCTGAGAAGGAATATGATCACATTTATTATTCACGTTTCATATTTTATTTAGCATCCTTTGTGCGGTTAAGTCCTATTGTCTATACTGTAGATCTTCTCTTGCTTTACATTGCCAAACAGCAGGAAGCTGGCTGTTTGTCCTAACCGGCATAATGCTTTTGCACCACAGCTCATTATTAATGAGACTCAATGAGACATATATTGTCTAGGCACATCTCCAAGTCTCACAGATGAATGAAAGGGTTTAAAGAGATTACATTAAGTTCTGATGTCTCTGCTAAGTAGTACGATTACTGTGATCTTTTAACAAACATCTCCTCTACTTCTTAAAAGCATTTTTTATGCGTAAAACAACATTTTGTTATAAATATGCAGTGAAGTCACCGAGTTTAGACGAATAACCTCGACTAACTTTCTGCTCCAAAACAACTTGAAGTCAGTGTCATGCTCAGCGAGTTGCTCTTTGATTCAACGTAATTAAATTAGTGGCTTGAGAACATGAACTTCTTTCCAACTGTTATAACATCAAAGCTGGCACACAATTAGGCATTCCTCCAAAATATCATCTTTTTATCTTTTTCTGTGCCAGCACCATTAGATTTCATTTCATGGGTTTGGATTCAATTTTGGGTTGCAGCGAACGAGATGTGATTGAGAAATGTTTGATGGAGATGTTTATTTTAAGCCATGGTTCAAAAGGGGTGAGCTACACAGAGGGTGCATCACGGCATGAGGCAAACAAGTGATGTGCCCATGAACGCACGACTCATCATTTAAGAGCAGGACTCTTTGTTTTCGATTGTATTAATTGAAATTTGAGCTGAACAGAAAAGGACAAACATTTGAGGATTAGTCATGCGTTTACACAACTACTTTTCATGTCTCAAGCACCCATTTTCCACTGAAGATCAGTACAGTTCTAGTTTAGTGTTGGTGCTAGTTTGGTTCGCAGTGGGTTCAACTGCAAACCAAATGCTAACCAGTTTGGTTTTACACTTCCCGAGTGGAGCCACATCATTACGTCCCCATTTAGGTCTCCGATTTTCTGAGCGACACTGCTTATAGGAGCCAATTAGCGATCGTGAAATAAAAGCCCTCAAAACTCACCTTTTCACCCTTGCCATCAACTCCTAGTCCACTAACGCCTCGCCCCTATTCATTACATTACATGTTACTTGTAAGACACTTTTATCCAAAGCAACTTACATACTCAATATGTGGACAATCCCCACAGGAGCAATTTGGGGTGAAGTGTCTCAGGGACACAACGACATGCTGACTGCAGTGGGGTTTGAACCTGTGCTCCCCTGATCCGAACACCAACGCAATAGGCCACTGCGCCACAGTCTATTCCACCTAGC